ATTGTGTTAGCTATCCAAAATAGAACTTCGAGGGCGAAATCTTGCTTTCGTACCCATTCCCTCTCCACCGGACGTCGCCAATAAGGCAAAATTCTGCTCTGAATCACCTAATAATTACCATTTTCAGTGGCGCCAACCTTACCGGTGACATTTCGTGCACTGGAGGAGAACCTGAAGATCGATCGAAGGGTTCACTCGATTTGTGCTGCCTTTGGGCGCGACAATCACTATGGTATGGTCTTATAATAATTAGTTTGTTTTTTTCTTTCCTTCGTGTCCTGATTTTCTGAAGCGGGCATGGGCGCTGGTATCGTCGGGTCGGGGGAGGGGGGGGGGGGTTACGTCGTTGTGCCGCCTGAGTAGGTAGGAAATTTTGGCGAAAATGAAAATTGCTCACCCATTCTCATCGCATTGTGCCCTCTGAGGCTTAGAATTAGTACCAGGGAAGGGGTGTTCGCAATATGGGCTCTCCGCACAATGATGCTCTCCCCCTTCCCCCCTCCCACACCAGTGCCCGGAAATGGTTTCTTATATGTAATATTGTAAGCTGGTGCAGCATAGGTATCGAGTATATTCGCCACAGAAGGAAGGAGATTCCGTCGGGGTATTGGAAAGTGAAGCGGAGGTGGGGCAGTTGTAAGACTCGCCGCAATAACTCGATGACGAGTGGATCTGTTCCCAACAGTGTCCGTTAGACCTTCTATCCTCCGAGGATTCCTACCTACTTGGTAGACCACGGTGGGAGGATAATTAGCACCGGTCTGAACAACCGATTTCAGAAAGCCTAGTTAGGTGTCAATGTGCACCAAAGTCAATGCCCCATTACAAGGTATTCAAGAGCGTGGCGCACTCTAAAAGTTTGTGAACATCGCTAAGGTATTCGTACTTTAGGCGTGGCAAAATTAGTTTAATATTGAATGCTTATAGGATTATTTGTCCTCCCAATTTCAGGATGGCACAGCACTTTACGAGGCTGTGGCCGTGATTTTTATTGCTCAACTTCATAATATCAAGCTTACTCTACTCGAGTTATTAACCATCAGGTGAGTCGTCAAAAGTAGCTAGGCTTAAAAAAGATTATGATTCAAAAATTCACTCCTGGGAACAGAAGCCCCACAACCATTGTTGCAACTCACTTACAAGGGAGGTCTTTCAGGGCAAGCCACGCATTTTCAAAACGGTTTCTTGCATATTTTAGAGTTTCATTTTCGCTGAACGGTTATAGCAGTACCAAAAAGAAGCATAAGGTACTGTTAAGGGTTCGATCCCCCGTGGCGACTAAATTTTGCATTTGGGTTGGCGCCTACGGTTTGGTGCCAAAATCGCGCTAAATATCAAAATCAATGTCAAATTCAAATCAGTTCATCGTCAGGACCATTTTGAAGCCAACAAGTGGCCGCCAACCTTGATTGCAAAATTTAGTCGCCGCGGGGGATCGAACCATCAAGAGTATCATTCACCACTTTTTTGGTACTACTAAAACCGTTCAGCGAAAACGAAACATGGTTTTGTGGTCCATACATGCGTCCCTACAATATGCAAAAACCGTTTCCAAAAAGCGCGGCTTGCCCTGAAAGACCTCCCTTGTTAGGGATAAAGAAAATCACTGCTCTAATGACGGAGCTGCTGACATTATTCGTTAACTCCGAAGAATTTTCAGTGTCACAACCACCGTGGCCTCCATTGGTTCCGGTTCAGTGCCGGCTGGCCTAGACACCATTGTTATTGTGTTGACCACAGTCGGACTTCCGGCTAAGGATCTCAGCTTGTTGCTCACTGTCGACTGGCTACTGTAAGTTTCAAAGTTCGTTTCTTTTTGGAAGAATGTGTTTTCTGGCCACATCTGAGATATAGTCTCCATCTGCTGAACATTCACCAGTTTTATGTATTCTATAGAAAGTGCCCAGAAGCTGTTGTTAATGCATATTAGAGTGCACCTTCAAAAGTGTAAACTACTAGTTAAATTCGTCTGGTAAAAATTTTCTGTGAGAGGGCTGCAATCCCATTTCTATTCTTTTATGAGAGCAATCAAATGCGATCGTATTCTGCGGTTTTGGACCGAATTTCAAGACGGCTACCCTGGCTTCTTTCTAGACCCATCACGAATTAGGATGATGCTTTTAACCTTGTTTTATTCCTTGGGAACAAGGTCAACCTTCGTTCGTACAGTACCAATGAGGGAAAGGGGTGGTGTTCGCATTTTCGGGAGGGAGGGGCGGTATTTGGGGTTGGCCAGTGTCGAAAAATTAAAAAGTGAGTCTTACTACGCAAGTTTAAAGGGTCATGGTTGGAGGAGTTGCGGGAGAGGGGTTGCTTTTGCGGGTTTTTCAACGATTATGGCGAAAATTCATGAGAGAAGCACCAATGAGAAATATGGGTTGGCCACTATTGAGACCTACTCACCCATCCCCTCACGCTGATGGTGGTGATGGCTAGGTCGTATCTGGACCCTCCTTTGAGTGGGAATGGGAGAGGGGTAAATTTTTTGAAAGAGCATCAACGCTAGGATTGATCCTGTTTGGGATTCCACCGCGATTCCATTCAGATCGCTATAGCATTCGAGTGAATGGGTAGCGTAAAATGCCGGAAATGCATGGTGTTCAGCACGCATGGAGGTTGCCCCGCCAATCGTGCGCCAGCATCTTGTATAGACGCTCTTCGCAATTTTTGGAGTGTCCGCATTGTCCGCCTTGCCTGCACGTTCCGCACCGGCGCAAAGTATAAAAGCAGCCTACGATAGTTCTTCACTTCCGACGCCAATGGAAGTACTTTAGGGGCTAACGCATGATATTGGCTACCATTAGTAGCACTTCTTTATCTGCCCGAAGGCATTTTCTCGACTTTTTCTCAAAGTAATAGCGTATTATATTTTAGTGAT